TTCCCCATTGCAGCCCTGGCAGCCCGGACGATGAGATGGTTATCATAGACCGCGCCACTGTCGAGTCGGTGCTCAGCGGGGGCGCCGCGCAGCAGGCCGCCCCCAGCATTCTGAGCGAGTGAGCTGCGCCTGGTGGCGGCCCCGCGCCAGCCGGCGCTGAGATGAGCTGTTTGCTGGCGTGACCGGGCTGGGAGCGGGGCATGGTTTGAGGTGTGTTTACATCCCATTTGAGCGCAAAAGAGTAAGATCTGCCGGAGTGAGAGGTGCCAGATTTTAGTAAATGTACCCGGGTTGGAGCGACCCAGTCGATTACATCTGGTAACAATGTCCATCCGATTGACGGCCAGCTGGAAGTTCAGCAGCCAATGTTATGGCTGCTAGACTTCCGCAGGTCGACTTCTTTGCTGTGTGTAGGATACGTCTGAGTCGCCGACGTGATGCCAGCCGCTCTGCCAACCAGCCACCGCTGCGCAGCACACCCCATGTCGACTCCTGCCGCTGCGTGTCAGCGCAGCAGCAGCTTCTTGTCCGGCTCCACCGCTTTCGGGCGCACTCCCCCTTGCAGCAGCGCCCGCTGCCGCGCCGGCGACGCGGGCGGTGGCACTGGCGCGTGCGTCGCGGCCGCGGCGGCGGCGGCCGCCTCCTTGCGCAGGCGCTGCAGCAGCTGAGAGTCCTGCGCCTCGTCGCAGACGACCTCGAAAGATCCGATGATCTGGCGGCCCCTGCAATGGCGAGCAAAAGGCGGCGGCTGCAGGTCATGAAATGCAGATGCTTTACCGCTAGGTGTTGAACGCTTGACAAGGCATGCATTGCGAGCAGAAGCTGGGCCTGACTCTAAGGCGGCGACACCTGCTTTGAACGCGCACATATCCTGGGGCCAGCAGGCCCCCCAGGTGAGCCTCACCCGCATGCTGACGCAGCGTTTGACAGCAGCCCTGGCGCCGCCTGCGCCAGCTCGCCCGCCCCCCGGTCGACCGCCACTTTCTGCGGCGCCAGCGGCCCCGACGACCACTCCTGCGGCGTCACGGCGTCCAGCACGTCCGAGATTACGCGGGACTTGAGCAGGCGGTCGGCTTTGGTGGTGGTGCTGAGCGATGGGCTTGCATTGACCTGCGCAGGAAAGGGTGTATGCGGTGCAAGGTCCCTTTAGGTGAGGTTTTGTTTCCCAGCAATGAACGGACTTCGAGAAGCTCAGGACACTACAAGCACTCGCTTGCGGACGCGTTGGTCTCCACGCACACAAACACTCCACGATGCACCCCGCAGCAACCCGCGGCCCAGCGCAGCACGGCACAGCGCAGCACAGCACAGAACAGCGCATCACATCATATCACATCACAGCACAGCACAGCGCAGCACGGCGCGCCACAGAACAGCACAGCACACCACCGCGCCCGACCTCTATGAGCCAGGGCTTGAGGGCGTCGTCCAGGATGACGTCAAAGCCGTACAGCTCGAAGCAGTGCTTGTCATTGACCATCACGGGCTGCACCGCGCGCAGGGTGTGCACCACCAGCGCCTGCGTGCGGGGGTTTCACGCAACGGCCCGCCGGCGGGCTAAGCCGGCAAAGCACGCTTTCTGCATTTCACGCTGTCTTTGTTAGTTCCCAGCTAGGGTGATCCGCGCCAAAATCCAAAAATATCTTGAATCGCTGGCTTCAAATATTGTAGTGGTTTGCTGGTGCGGGGTATCCCCAGTGCTTGCAGAAACACAGGGCGGCGCACCTCGATGTCGGCGAACAGCGCCTCTGTCGCCGCGTGGCCTCGAATTGCCTCCAGGTGCAGCCGCAGGTTCTCCAGCGCCCACTTGCCGCCTGGGCCGTCTGGATCGTGGCCGGGCGCCCCCTTTTGCACGGCGACGTTTGTGAGGTGCACCAAGGCGTTGTCCAGCTCCGACACCTGGTCAGTGTACCTGCGTGTGTGTAAGTAAGTGTGTGCGTGTGTATGTGTGTATGTGTGTGGGGGGACGTGCAAGCGCATGCACTCAGGAACACAATGCATGCGTTTGAGCGGGTGTGCATGCATGTCAGTGTGCATGCAAATGTGCATGTGCACGTATTCGACAGAGGGGGCAACACTTGTGGTTTGAGTTGTGCACAACTGTCCGCTGAAGGCTCCCAACACGAAGCGGTGAGTCGGTCAGTGCTGCGCAAGGGCCGAGGCAGGGCGCACATACAGCGCTCTGCTGCAAAGCGACGCGGAATTCGCGCTTTCCAGGTGCCCGGCGTTTTTGGCTCCCGGCGTCCCGGCTCACTTTGCTGAGCAGAAGCGCGCAAAGCCGAGCTTGGACATATAAGCTACCAGAGGGCGATACGACGCCACCAGGACGTACCTGGTGCATCAGGTAAATGGGTGGGGTTGGCCGGCGCGTGGCATCAGGGGTCGAGGGGGTTGAAAGAAGGGAGCGGCTGCAGCTTGTCAAACTTCAATTGGTCCACACACGCGGTCAATCAAACTAGGTTGCCGTGTTGGCATGACTCACAGACGAAGGTCAAGCTTCTTGCCTCCAAGCAGCACAAGTGGGTTGTCAATGTAACGCGATATCACATGCCCTTCTAGCCCCTGCGGGCGCAGAGCCGCTGCCAACGCCGGCGGCTGCGAAGCGCCGCCAGCGGGCCGGAACGGCGCCGGCCGCGGGCCGCCGCGGGCAGCTGCTGCGCCTGCCTTGACATCTCCTGTGGTGCTGCCGCTGGTGGGCCCCGGCTTGCTGCCGGAGTCACTGTGGCGTTTGAGGTCTGAGAGCTTTGAAATCAAGTAGATGCCCTGCATTCACATGGCCGGGGCCGCACACATCAAACACAGCGTGAGCTCCAGGGGCAATTTAACTCCCTTAACGCAGCTTGCGCGTGACAAGCAGGGCTGCTACGACTCTCTTGACCGCTGCTGCTCGCCATGAAAGCGCACGCATAGCCGGGAGGGTCGAAGGCGCATATTGCGAGCAGTCAGCGGCGGGCGCTGGACGCATGCACCTGGCCCTGCGACTTTGCGGCTGGCTTCAGGATCCATGTGGCCTCAGGGCGCCGCCTGAACTCCTCCAGAAATAGCGCATAATCCTGCGGCAGCGCAAAGGTCGCCGGCAGGAACTCTGGCTGCGCGGCTCCGGCTGCTTCGGCTGCGACTGCCGCTGCCGCGGCGGGTGTGCCGTTGGCGGGCTGCGAGCCTGGTGTGGTGGTAGCTGCGGTCGGCGAGGCCCCCGCGTCGTCCTTGAGGCGCCGCGTGTAGCGCTTGAGGTTCTTTGCAAGCAGGTCCTGCGGCGCAGGCGTCGCATCGGGGCATCACCATAGGCAGGGTTCTGCGACGAGGGGCATTGGGGTTGGGTGGGCGCTGCCTGCGACACCTGATGATGATGCGACGCCTTGCCCGCCGAGCAACGCGCATGATGGCATGACGTCCAGCCTGCAGCCCTGCCACCTTTCGTGTCAGCTCGTAGTGGTTTGGGAAGTGGTTGATCAGCTGCCCCGGCCGCAGCTGTACCAACCCCTCTGGGCCGAAGACAGTCCCTAGCGCCGCCGCGTCGCCTGCGTGTGCGGCCGCCCATATGATGTCAGCGTCCTCTGTGGAGCCGGTCCGCTGCCACCCGCGGCGCTGGAAGTTTCCGTTGAGTGTGCTTTTGTCGAGCTCAGACTTCCAGCGGATCATGGGTATGGCGACACTCGACATGTGTGAATGTACTGAATGGTGACGTGCGGTGCACGCCGCAGCAGCTGCTGCTGCGCGCCGCAGCACTTGGGGTCCGCAGTATAGGCGGCTGCACGGTCACACTATCGATCTTATGCGTGATATGTCCACGACGAGTCCGTTCTTTGCGCGATTGCACCTTCTGATGGTCGGATCGCATCCAACGACAGATCAGCGCGCCTGTTTGGGAGACGGCCAATCGCTCTGCACACTCTCAACGCTGAAATTTGGGTGCACTTACAAGCTCATCGGCTCGACGGAGCGTGCATATCCTGCCGGCATGGCATCAGTTGACTCATGGTCAACCCCAACAGTCTATTAGTCTGCGTGTGTGTGGGGCGCACTGCATCGGCTCGCCGCACGCTGCTTCGCTGCATGTTGGTGCTGCTCGGTAGCTATTCGCCGTCGAGTGCAGATCAAAAGCCTCAGATAATCTCATGCTCCAAGAAAATGCACCCTGCACATGGGTATGCTCATTCGGGATGAGATCCTAGGTTGCTTAGGTCTCCTCCATTTTACGCCCCCAAAGAATGCTGACCAATGACGACCGGTTGTTTTGCAATACCCTACAACATTACAAAGTGCCGGATATGACCACTGTCCAACGATGTTGTCCATGTGTCCACCCAGCTGCAGTTCATAGTGCGTCGTATTGCGCTCATGCACAAACCTACTAGCGCCCCCCATCGGCCCCCGCGCGCCCCTCCCCGCCAGCGCTAACTCTCAGCCCCCCCGCCGTCCGAAGTGGCAACTTTGGCGATACGGTAGCAAAGGGGAGAGTGCCGCGCCACCGACCTTGCCCGCTGCTCGTGAATGAGCATGGTGTACATGGTGTTGCGCACCGCTGCGCGGACGTTCCAAAGTCAAGGGGGCTATGCGGTCCCAGATCCAGGCAACCACTGCACTGCGGCCGCCACTGCGCATTGTCTGCGCCGTTCAAGCGACAGCACGCTCCACAGGCCTCTTCCAGCAACATTGCCCGCAACCTTGGCTACTCCAGCATACAGTAATGGCAAAGAGACCGAAGACAGCTGCCAGGTGGCATATGGGCAGCGCTTCGCTGCAGCGAATGCAGGCACCTCGGAGTGATATCACAACATTCACCCAGACCCATTAACCCAGTCCCAGGGTGAGCTAGGCAGAACCCAAAATGCTGTGCATTGTTCAATTGCGTATCTCTGCATTGATCTTGATTCAAAAGGCAAGTGAGCGGCCCCTGCAGCCTGCCTGCCGCCAAAAACGTTCGTTGCTGCATGTGTGCTGAGTGTCAGCGGCATACTATCATCTATCTAGTACACATTGATTGCTTCTTTATAAGTGATTGCGTCAATGCAGCAACCAGGTGGTCTTGAGGCCATCCAGATGGGACCCGCATTGGTCAAAAAGGTTGGCCGATGCTTGCCCCAGTCACACTGTCAACGCTGACAACACCGGGAGGAGCATGCAGGGCATGTGACGCCATGTTGACATCCTATAAGACATCTAAAAAGCTGCAGTGGTGATTAAAGCTGCAAATGGGCAACCCCAGCAGAGCTAGGCATCTCCCCTGTAGGCATAGAGCAGTACATGAGTACAGGCGAGCAGCACACAAGGCCTGCGGTGACGAAGCAGTGACGGGTTTGCTCAAGAAGGATGTCGAGCTTCAGATTGCTGCCGCTGCTGCAACTCTTTATAGAGTATAATACTAGAATTGACACTGCAAGCAACAAAGAAACAAGACTGATCTCCGATCATCGTCGTCTCAAACGTCCTCGCTGAGCCTCGAAGTCAGGCAAGGTACAATTCTTGCAACTCGTCCGAGCTGGAACTATGCTACGGCACGGCTCTAGCATCCTGCGGCAAGGCGCGCGCCGCCTGCGTAGCTCGCACGGCGCAGCGCCATTCCTGGGACCAGAGTTGGCTGCTCTCCAGCAGGTTGGTGCCAGTGTGTCTGTCTGATGACAAAGGCGGAACGGATTCAATTCAATTGTGAAGCAGCGTTTGCGTCGGCGGCGCCGCCTGGTCTCGATGCGGCTCTCTGTGCCGACACCTGCGACGCGCAAACATGACGCAGGTGTGTTGCGCCCCGCTGGCCGCGTGCAGCAATGAGGGGATGCTGTGGCAGCAGGAACGCCGCCTTCAGGTGTTGCAAAAGCAGCAGCAACAGCAGGTATCAATTATCTGTCCCAGCGTGCTTGGGGACCAGTGGCTGCTGCGCGAGCAGCAACATCAGCAGAGGCTGGAGCAGCAGCAGTGGTGGGGCCCGGCCGCATGCCGTCTGAGCCGCAGGTGAGCACTGCTGCTGCTGCCCAAGGACTGCTGCTGCTGCTGCTGCTGCTGCTGCTGCTGCTGCTGCTGCTGCTGCTGCTGCTGCGGCTGCTGCTGCTGCTGCTGCTGCTGCTGCTGCTGCCTGTTTTGTTCTTCTGGACTTGCTGGGTTGGTCTCACCTACCAACCTGGCTGCCTGGCTTGCTTGCTGCTCGCTACATAACCCTCACAAGGCGCGTGATCCGCGTTGCTCACACCCTTGCACCATACAGTAGCCCCTTCTCATCTACAGCTGCACCGCACGACGCGGCGTCAGCTTCCCAGCAGCAGCAGCACCAGCAGCAGCAGCCGACCGCCGCTCCCGCCGCCGGTGCTGGCGGGCAGCCCTCGGGCCGCCGGGCGACGGGAGCGGCGGCACGCGCCAAATCAAGCAAGGCCAACCTGGCATTGGAGTCCCAGGTAAATCGCATGGATTTTACGACGAACCACCTCACTCAGGTGATGGAGGCGTACAAGGGGCCGCCAGAGCCCCTGGGATACAGCTGGGCGGCCTCCAAGGCCGGGCGGCAGCTTGCGTGGACGCGCGTGCAGGTGAGGGCCCGCCGCACAGCCGCGAGCTTGGCGGGGGAGGCGCCTTAACAGCGGAGGCACCGGGGAATGCCGCGCGGGAGCGGCGCGTGGTGGTTTGTGGGCGTGCGGCAGCTCGTGCTCCGCTGGGCCTGAGCGTCCGCCCTCGCCCCTGCCGGCGCTGCAGGGGTGGCTTGCCACTGGCATGGCCATCGCCAACCTCATGCGCTGTGTCCCGAACTTCAGGTGCGATTGTTTGCATGAGTTGAAAAATATTGGTACACAATTTAAAAGGGCAGGTGCATACTTGTTGTCTTGACGCAACGCGCGACCGGTGAAGACGTGCGGCGCTCCGCGCCTCCGCCCTCTGCGTTTTTGCGCTGCCCCGGCGCCGGGCACGGCGCCCGTCGGCCCCCACCAACATCACCCCCCCTTTGCAACCTGCGTGGTGCCCGCAGCCTCAAGGGCCTGAAGGTTACGTGCGCTGAGCTGTACATGTCGGTCAACCGCGCCCTCGCCCTCGGTCAACTCGAATCTGTAACAGACGTGAGCCGCCGCCCCCGGCTTTGCATTGTCAATCGCCCTGGTCCAGCCTCGCATGGCGTCTCCGCCCCTCACTCGTGCGTGCCGGGCCGCCCTCGAGCCTCGCGTCGCCAGCTCTCACGGGGTTGGTCACGAAGAGTTCCCGCGCCCCAGGGCCCAACCCGCCCTCCCGGCCTCCACCGGAGACACCAACCTCCCGAACACGACGCCCCGCGCCTCCGGCGCGCCCGTGCCGCTCTTTGACCCCAGTTGGTGGCGCCCGGCGAGTTCAAGCTTATGCTCCACGAGCGGGAGCGGTGGCGCAAGCTGCGGTGGGCGCGCGTGGACTGGCAGTTGGAGGGGGACCTGCGGCTCAGCGACATCGAAATCGTGCAGGGCAGGCGAGCGGGCGGCGCGGGGCGCGAGGGGGCGGGTCCCTGCGTGCGGACGGCGCGTCCGCAGAGGCCAGGCGGAGGCTCTGGCCCCGCGAGTGGGGCAGCATGTTGTAACTTCGCCTGACTCAAGGGCCCGCGACCCGTCGCCCCCCAGGCCGTCCATGTGCGTGATCCCACAGCTGCCTTTTCGTCCCTGCTCTCTTTCCACACGCGCCCCCAAACCGGTCTCAAGCCGCCACAACGGCCTGCAACTCCCACGCAAGCCGGCCTCTGCCGCATCCACCCACTCCTGCGCGTCACTCCCGCGGCCATCCACATCCTACAACAGGACCGCTAAGATGAACCAGCAGTCCAAGGTTTCGTTCGTCCAGATGACCCTCAAGATCGCCTCCCGCCAGCGCTTCGCAGCGTATTACAGCCGGGGCGGCGCCGGCGGCGCCGGCGCCGGCGCCAACTCGCGCGGGGCGCTGGCATCGGGGGACCCGGATGAGGTGCTGGACGTAGTGGATCACTGGGTGCTCGAGCGCAAGGTTTTTGATGACAAGGGGGCCAAGGACAAGATCGACCCGCCGGGCGCGCGGTGGCGGGTCGTGGCGCGGCTGCAGGTGTAACAGCGGGCCCGCGGGGCGGGCGGGGCGGCGGCTGCGGCGGCAGGGGCGGGGGCTGGGGCGGCTGCAGCAGCAGGGGTGGTTGCAGGGGCGGCTGCGGCGGCAGGGGCGGTTGCAGGGGCGGCTGCGGCGGCAGGATAGGATTGTTACAGCGTCCTGCGGTCGCCCGCTTCTAGAGCCATCCAGGCTTTTGAGATTGCACATTTTGTACAGGCAGGCAGGGGACGGCTGTGGCGGCTCGCGGTGGCCGCGCCGGACATTTGTAAGCGGGTTCAGCACAAGAACATGTGGCGGCTCCGCGCGCAAAACACGCGCGTATGGACCGATTACGGGACATGTTTTGGGTGATTCAGCGCCACTCTGGCAACAGCTTTTTAGAAAGTAAAAACCCAATGGTCGCGAATGAAAGCGCAGGTTTCAGCCGCCCCCAGTCGCCACGCCGTTGCACACCTCGATGCCGCTCGCCGCCCTCCTCACAAACGCGGCGGGCAGGCCGTCCATCCGGCGCTGCAGCTCGACGTACATGGCGCGCCGCTGCGAATCCGCCACCCGGCTGAGCCGCTCCCGCTTTGATGCGCACCAAGCGTCGACCAGCCCGCGCAGCCGTTCCTCCGGCACCACACGCCCACACGCGTGGCGCAGAAGCGCCGCGGCGACGGGCCGGTCGAACATCCGCTCGTACCTGCGGTGCCCAGGACGCGCGCAGGGCGGCCGGGGTTTGATGCACAGTGGGTCGGCCGGCCGGACCAGGCAGGTCGGGGCTCATGATTCATGGCTCGGCTCCCTCGGGAGATGATGAATTGGCCAAGAGGGGAGGGGGGCGCAGAGCATCACCTGACGAAAAGTATGTTGTAGCTGGTGGGGCGGCTCAGCCAGTTGTCCAGATGGCGCTCGTAACCAAACAGGTCCTCCCCCCTGCGCAGCGACCGGGGCCGCTCGTAAGGCCTCGGCAGCCGCTCTCGCACGGCCGCGGCCGGCAGCCGTCAAGCAGCATGGGCGCCGACGGTCCCTTCCTACCTTCCGCACAGCCGCAGCAGCCCGCGTGCCGAACACGTGCCCGCGTTCTCCCATGCGAGCGCCTCAAAAGCAGCCCCGCGGCCGCGAGCTGACCTGGAAACGTACTCGTCAAAACTGTTAGGAAACCCCTCCTGGCTCAGCCGCGGGTCGCCGCTGGTCTTCAAGGCTTGGTGGTGTGCGTGGCCGCGGCGGTAGTGGGAGGCCACCGAGGCCAGCGGGTCGCCAAAGAGGTACACGCAGCGCGTGCCAGGGGCGCCCAGCCGGGGCGGAGGGCTGCGATACATAGAGAGGAGGGTGAGGGGCGCGCTGCGGACGGCGCCTGGAGAAAACGAGGTCCTAAGACATTGTAGCTGTTGGTGGCTGGGTGGTGACGAACAGCTGTGGTGCCGTGCGAAGCGGGAGCTGACGAACGAGGTCATGCTTGAGTTCTCAACCGCCAGGTGCTCATGCCCTTGGCCCCACCTGTTGATGTGGCGGAAGCTGTCCTGGTCAGTCAACAGGTTGCAGCGCACGCCGCTGCGCGTCAGAAAGTTGCCGAGCTCGGTGCTGCCGACGCCTCCTGCGCGGTGTGGGTGGGGCGGGCAGCCGATTTGGCGGCTTGGGTTGTTTGTGCTTTACAGCCGCCTTGCAGCAAGCCTTACGTTTGCGACATCACTCGCGCTCGCCTGCTGCAGCACCCATTGCAGCGGGCAGCGGCCCCCGGGGTCATGGCGCCACCGCCCTGCTTCAAATATATCACCATCACCCGCGCGACGCGGGCCAGCCTGTCTCTGCAGGTCAAAGCACTCGTGAGGACATCCCTGCAAGCCTTGATTGCGCACCGACGGAGCATATGTACACGTCCAGGTCAAAGGTTGGGTCCTCAAGGCACTGCAGCAGCTCTTGGACCTAGTAGAAAAGTGGTGTGTTCAGGGGGTGCCAGGAACGATCGGTTCGGCCGGTCCGTTGTGCGCAAGCGCCGCCGCCAGGGCGCTAGCCTCCGGCAGCCGGTCACATGGCCAGGAGACTGCTGGTGCTCCTCCGGCCGTGGGGCACGCACCTGGGGCGAGGCCTCCTGCATTGAGAGGACCCATTTTAGGCTCTCCATCCCCGCACAGGATCCTGACTCTTATGTTGGCGGTGGCGCGAGCGGCGTCGCCGCGAGTCCACAGCAGAGCGCGGAGTGAGTGTGTCCTGGTGGGCCCGTTGCAGGTGTGAGGAGCGCCACACTGCACGCCAGCTTAGATCAGCTGTACTAGTATATTTTTCATCAGTTGTTGTCTAGAATGGCGGCGACATGCACGCAACGTTTCGTGGTGTGCCGGCTGCCTGCTAGTGACAGAACTGCCAGGGTGTTGATCTTGAGGGCCTTTGGTGTGAAATGTAAATGGATGAACAAAGCTGTACGGGCATTGAGCACGCGACCGCACCCCACGTCTTCAGCAAGAGTTACGAGCATAAACTGATCTCCACAGGTGGTCTTCGAGGGGCTCATGACACTGTATACACAATACATTTGAACCTTTTGAAGTCGTTTCTGAATGCGGTTGCAGCAACTTTAGGGCCCTGGTGGCCTGTGATCGATGAGCTGTGCAGCGTGCTGCCCTGTTTGAGCGCCAGCACCGATCATTTGACTGTGGAGACAATTTCATCATCGAAGAGCGGTGCTGCTCCCTGGCGTACAGCGCCAGGCACCCCCAGGCGCCCGGCGTGGCGGGTGGCGCGCTGCAGCAGCTAGAGCTTGGCGCACGCCTCCGCCCTCGCGGCCGCACGGCGCCATGAGCTCGTCGCTGTCGCAAGCGCTGTCATCCCACAACAAGCGGCGCGGCACGCTGCACGACGACATCGATCGCAGCGTGTACACGGTCGGCCAGACGCTTGTATCAATCGTGAATGACCCGCGCACCGCCGGCCTGCCGGCCTCCACCGGCTTCTGGGGCTTTGGCAGCCATGATGCCCCCCAGGCCGACGCGCAGCCGCCCCCGATCGACGCGTCAAAGTACCCAGCTGTCAGCCAGCAGGATTTGAATCAGTACCTGAAGGTCGTGCGCGGCGCGTACGAGCGCTTCGTGCGCGACCGCGAGAGCCTCGAGGCGTTTGATCACGCACGGCCGCTCGGCGGCGGCGGCGCGGGCGGCAGCGGCGCGGGCGGCGGGGCGGAGGCGGAGGCGGAGGGGACGCCGTTTGGCAGCGGTGAGCCAACGCGCTGCTGGAATGCCGTGGTCGTGCGAAGACTGCAGGACGATGCAGTGCGACATGTGCAGTGGTGGTCTGCGCCCATGCTTTGCTGCTGCATGCCCTGCTTGTTCCTCGTACGTCTTGATTACTGTGACTGGTATTGCTGCTGCTGCTGCTGCTGCTGCTGCTGCTGCTGCTGCTGCTGCTGCTGCTGCTGCCGCTGCCGCTGCTGCTGCTGCTGCTGCTGCTGCTGCCGCCGTTGCTGCTGCTGTTGCCGCTGCTGCCACTGCTTCTCTCGCTGCCGCCGCTCATCAACGGCCGCTTTATCGCTACCGTTTGCACCGTCAGGCGGGGGCTATGGCGGGGCCGGCAGCAGCCAGGGCGAGGCGTTCATGGCGGCGCTGCAGACGGTGCCTGGGCAGTACTTTTCAGAGGACTTTGAGAGCAAGTGGTAGGCGGGGTGTGACGGCGTGCGGGAGCGGCGGCCTCTCCCTGGTGGTACTTTCGCTCTGCTGCAGCGCGGCAGGTGCAGCAGTCCGCCGCAGTGCGCACGTGCGTGCCCTTTCGGCCCCTGAGCGCCTGTGAGGTTTGGGTAAGCCCCTGCGCGCGCCAGCACCCCTGCCGCCCCACCGCCCGCGGCTGGGCCCATCTCTGCGCCCGGACGACGCAGGGACGACTTCTTTGTCCAGTTCTGCCAGAATCAGAGCGCGGAGGAGCTGTATGGGGAGATCGACGAGCTCAACAAGAACCTGGTGGGAAGCTGGGCGGCGGGTGGCGGGTTGGGCTGAGCTGCTGGCGCCGGGCAGGGGCGTGGCCGGCAGGGGGGGCGGTGTGGCGCGCGTGGAACCCTCGCTCTGTCGCGTCATCCCAGCGCTGGGCGCCAAATGAGTTCCTCTGCGACGCCCCGCTTCTCCCGCCGCCCGTGGCGCCAGCCCACTTGTTCACCCGTAAAAAGCCCCCAGACCCTCACGCATGGACGCGCGCCACCCGCCCCACCGCCGTTGGGCGGGTGGCACCCGCCCCAATGCACCCCGCCACACGGGGCCCCGGCCCCCCGTCGAGCTGACAGGAGTCGGCCCCGCCTGTCGGCGCAAATTCAAATTCAAACGCAGGACGTCGTCGAGCTGCAGCTTCTCAGGGAGGTGGCCGCGCGCAGTGCCTCCTTCTTCCAGGCGGCCGGGCAGCTGCAGGGCCTGAGGGGCGTGCTGCAGGACACGCTGGACGTCGTGGGGTCGCTGCGGCGCCACGTGGGGGGCCTGGATGCTGACCTGTACAGAGCGGCGGTGGGCGTGGCGGCGCTGCAGCGGCGGAGGGGCAACCTGGAGCAGGCGCTCGACATCACTAAGGCGCGGGCGCTTATGCGGCGTGTGCATGGTTTCGTGTCGCGCGGCGCAGCCAATCGGATGCGCATGTGGCGGATGGGGCTGGCACGCCATGCCGATCAGTTGGGAATTTGTGTGGCTGCGCCGGGGCCCGGAAGGCAGCAGCGGCAGAGGCGAGCGTCCGCCCGGCCGGCTGCCGCCTAACACTCGGCCGGCCCCCAGCTTTCGCCCTGGCAGCCAGGCCCGCCTTTGACCGCCCCGAACCGCCCTCAACCGCCTCCAACTGCCTTCAACCGCCCTCAACCGCCCTCCACTGGCCCCCAGGCCCTGAGTGACGTGCTGGACTGCCGGCAGGCCCTAGAGGGCATGATTGAGAGCGAGGACTATGCGGGTGAGCCCCTTCTTGACCAAGCCTATGCATCTACATAGTAGCAAAGCCGCCGCAGCCCTGCAAGCGCCGCAGGCCCGCCCCGCCGCTGCCCTCTTCATGAGCCGGGTGCCTGCCGCGGCCCGCTCCCACATCAACGGGCCGACATGCAACCCCTCAACACAGCCGGCTCCGCTCCCCCCGCCCGTCGACCCCCTACCGCCCTGAGACCACCCTCAACCCCCACCAACACCCCCCAAAACGACGTCCTCCTGAACCCTGAAAGGCGCCCTGGAGCTCGCAGACCAGATCCAGCGCTCCCTGGAGTCCCCGCTGCTGCAGGGGCTACTGGCGGTGCGGGACCTCCCCCCCAGGCTCGCAGACACGTCCGAGGCGGTGCGCGGCATGCTGGTGGCCGAGTTCCTGTCGGCGCTGGAGAACCGGCCGCTCGAGGACGTCGTCGCGGCGGCGGCCGCAGAGGCGGCGGTCGCGCAGGCGCGGCAGCAGCACGGTGCGCGGCGCGCGCCGGGGGCGCGCGGTCGGGGCGGGGGCGCGGTGGCTCCGGGCGGCTGCCGGTAGCGCAGGGGACGGGGGTTAGTGCAGCTGTAAGGTGTGATCGGTTTGGAAAGCAAGCGCTGCAAATCAAGCGTCAGGTGGGTGTTATGCCACCCTGTTGCTCGCCTTGCGTCAAGCTGACCAGGACCACCACTGATGCCGCCGCCGCCCCCCGCTGCTGCTGCCATGGCGCCCCCTCCCCCGCAGACGCAAGCAGCGACGCCGAGCCGGGCCCTGAGACCCGCGCGGCCGAGGCGTCCCCCTTCACTCAGCAGCTGTCCATCCTCACTGCGTTGGCCGCGGAGGCGGCGGGCGCGCTGCATGAGAAGCTGCTGCCCCTGGCCGTCGGCCTGTGGCGCGCCGACAAGCTGGGGGCGGCGATGGCCCAGTATCGGGACAACGTGGCGGCGGAAGTCAAGGGGGCGATCAGGGATGTGGTGCAGCAGGTTGTGCCGATGCTGCTGGCGGCGGCGGGCGGGGACGGCGGCGGCGGCGGCGGCGGCGGCGGGTCTGGGGCGGAGGTGCAGCTGGCGGAGCAGTTGCAGGTGGGGCCCCAGGCAATCAAAACGGCGGAGGCGGCTCTTTGTGGCAGGCGGAGGGATGGCAGCCCATGCTGGCTGAAGCCCGCCGGCATGAATGCTTGGCGCTCACCAGGGATATTGGACGTTTCATTGGCAGCCGTTGAACTGCCCAACAAGAACGGGCCGACAAAGGGCACACTCGACCCACGTTCCCGCCACCCGCCCCGCCGCGGCCGCGCGGCGCCGCAGGCGCTGCAGCACGGCGCGTTCATGCAGCTGCTGCGGGCGGTGGCGCGTGTGCTGATCGCGTGCTGCGGCCACGTCCTGGCGGTGGGCAAGGTGCTGGAGGAAGTCCTGGCCGGCTGCCAAGCTCACCCCAGGTGAGGGCACCACCCCCACCACCACGCCGTCAACCCTGTGGATGCTGTGCGTGGGTGGCTCCTACTTCGCCTCGGCCGCAGCCAAACGCGAGCCGTCGCCTTGCTCTGTCGCATCTGTTGCATCATTTGCGGCGTCGCTTGGCTGCCCGGACGAGGGCCTTTTTGCACCCATCTCCCCACTCCTCATCAGTCCTGCCTCCAACCAAAACTCTTCGCCCCGCGCCCGCCCCGCAGCCAAGTTGCTGCCCTGCGCAAGGACGTCACCGCGGCGCTGCAGGTGCGCCAAGGCCCCGCCCGCGTCCCTGCTTGCACCCCGCTATCACGCCTGGCTGTGACTGATAATTTTTGGCCTCAAGCTGATTTAAACGACTGTCCAGCTCTCCGACTCTCCGGCTTCCACACTTGCGCCGCCCGCACGTCAACGAACTGTTGTCAATCAAACCTTAGGTCGCGGTCGACGCCGGCCAGGGGCGCTGGGTGAAGCTGCTCGGCGCCCGCAGCAGCGCCCACATGCGGCTGCGGCTCTACGAGCTGAAGCAGCTGCTGGACGCGTCCGAGGAGGTGGGGCCTTTGCTGATCTGGTCTGCGATCTAATCTGTGCTGTGATCTCGGGACCCTCATCACTCGCCGCGCTCGTGCGTGCGGCTGATGGGACCCCGTGGCCGCGACTGGCGCTCTGCCGACTCTTCCTGTCGCGTCAGCAGCACCCCCACGGTCACGATTCTCATATAGTGCAACCCAGTGCAGCGCCTCAACCAGGCGGGAGCGAGCCCGACCCCTCACGCACCGCCCTCGCAACGACCGGCCCCCCGCAGGTGGCCGCCTACGCCGAGTCGTGCGGCGCCCGCACCCTGGGCTCTCTCCGCAGCTCCCTGCAGGCGCAGTGCAAGGCCTTCCTGGACAGCCAGCACGGCCGCTGCACCATGCAGCTGCAGCACCTGCTGGAGGTGAGCCCACGCCTGCGCCCGCGCTCCCCCCAACCGCACTTTTTCTCCTGGTGCTCTCCTCTCTTTTCTCCTGGGATGCAGGAGTAATGCCCTTGCTTGCCCGCGGCTCATGGCTGTGGAACGATCGAAACCTATCTCATGGGGTGGCTTCTGGCCGTCGGACGAGGGGCGGGAGAGGGGGGGCCGTGACCTTGCACGCCTCCTGAGCTGCTGCTGGGGGCGCCTCTTGCTCTTGTCTCTGCCGGTGGGTATTCCCAGGCCTCTTGCCAACACAAAGGGGTCCTCCCCTTGCTTTTGCAGCCGTGGTCCGCCCAGCGGACGCGTTGCCCCTCGCGACCCGCCCCGCGCGCGCCGCCCCGCAGGGCGAGCAGTGGACGGTCGTGGAGGTTCCCGCAAGCTTCCAGCAGATCGTGGATCGCCTGCTGTCGCGGTGCGTTTTCAGACCATGCACCAGATGACACATGTGGTTTAGATTTATTGCCGCACAATCAGTTGGAGCGGCTCCGGCGAGCGTTGCGTGCAGCTGCGCGACCCTGCGAATGCGTCCCAGTCGCTCGCCACGCGCCGTGCTGACGAGCGCGCGCCCTGCCCCGCGCCCGCAGGTGCGGCGAGGGCGCCGCCATGATGCTCGCAGACGGGGACGCCGCCGTGGGCCCCAAGAGGTGCGGCCTCGCCGCTGGCGCGGCGCCCCCAGCGGCGGCGTCGCGCCGTGCGGCGTCGCGCCCAGCTCGCGCTCAGGCCTGGGTGCCACGCCCGTCCGGAGATCGAAGCAGCCAACCTTGCTGCACTCTTCGTCATCACGCATCTGTGTCCCAATCAACATCAAACCGTTCAATGCAACCCCGCCCGCGCAGCCGGGACCGCGACCAGGCCGCCCCGGAAGCCGCGGGCGCCGCGCCGGCGCCCGCGCAGGCGCCGGCGCCGCAGGCGGCGCTGCTGGTCAACGGGCGGCGGTTCCACCTGGTCAACAGCGCGCTGATGCTGCTGAAGATGGTGGACGACTACATGAGTCTGTACGACATAGTGCCGCAGGTGGGAGGGGCGGGGCCGCTTCCATCTACGATGGCGGGCCGCACAAAGCCGCGCTCGACGAGCGCGGGGGCGCGGCACGCACGGCGCGACTTGTGCTGTTTAACAAGTGCGCGCCTCGTTTGTGAACACAGCACAGGATGCGAATGCGTCGGCCGACGCCCCCGCCGCCGTTTTCGACTCCTGTCGCAGTTTGGGGCTGAGATCGTCCACCGGGAGCTGGAGTTGCTCAAGCAGTTCAACTCACAGGTGCGGCAGGCGGCGCGGCCGGCCTCGCCGTAAGGCTTATACTGCATGGCAGCCCTTGCAACATGCATTTTTACGCCTTGGTGAAAGGGCTTGCGCTGTGGTGATGCTGCTCCCTGCACTCATGCTGCTCTCTTTCATGCCCGCCCCACCTCCCCCGCCGCCGGCCAGCGACGGCCACCGCTCACCCCCCAACCC